TATTATATCTCTTTGGAAAGATCATTTTGAGTTCGAATGCTATTGTTCCGACTTCATTTACAATGCATTAAGTAAAAGGTACATATTAATTTGAAATTCACAAATATTTCCGATTTCACGCTGAACTCGTGTAGAATTTGATCATATCATACATTGCTGTGTTTTGTTTCGTTTAAAGCATTTGCTATCTTGTTGGAAAGATCTTATCAAGTTCTAAAACCCGTCTTCAGGCTTCGGTTTCAAAATATTACGGGATAATTAACTATTGAACGGGATTTGGAATCTGAGACTATATTTACGCTAAAATTTTTGGGAACGCCATACCTAAATCGTGTTTGCTCTGCGTTGGATGAGTGGACGATCACTTTGTTGTTGCTCTGTATCCCCACGGCGAGGGAGATGTATGGTCTCTCTTGTAGCTTCCAGTCTGCCCCCTGGAGATCCATCGCATCTGCGACATCGAGGGTTTTGGCAGCTTTCTTCGGGCACTAGTTCGTCCTCTACCCTATCAATAAGAAAACCACTGAAGCCCGGCGGCTGCTCCTAGGAAGACTGATAGCGAAGGATACAAACTCTGGTGGCAATAAGCCCTAGAGAGAGAAATTTTTTACTTCGCTAGCTTCATAAGCCATGGCTTAGAGTCCATTATTATTTTTTATCATAGAGTCCATTATTGTTTTTTAGAACCAAAGCAGGATACAAAGTGACGACAAGTCTTATGTCTACCATCTGCCCAAGGACCAGGCTTTGAATTAATCACCTCCGAAGAAGCCATATAATTCGTTGATCCCGCTTTGGGCTTATCTGAGCCAATGAGTTACAGAATAGACTCCTCATCCCTTGGCTTAGGTTCAAGAGTTTTATTGCTGAAAAAACACAGCACAAACAAAACAAAGTACACATCCAAAACGTGGGAAATAAAGAAAAAAGAGCAAACAAAATAAAAGTATCTCTCGGCTAACAAAGCCGTCATCAACCTCAGAAACTATGGCCGGTCTGGGATCCAGCACCCGTCCCTGTCCCGTTTTTTGGGAAATATGAAATCAAACACCATAGCATCCTTTGCTGCGTCCTCCTTGGCTTTAGGGCTGAGCACGGGTCAGGTTCGGGCGGGTCGGGTCTGCGTACCCTAAACCCGTTCGGGGGTTTTAAGTTAAATATTAGGCCCGGCCCTTTGATATTACAAATCGGGTTTTTCGGATATTTGTAAATTGGACATTATCGGATATCAGATATTTAGGTTATATTAAAAAAAATTATAATTGGATAATTAAAGTGTTTGAATGCCACTTTGACAAAAATTCTACAAACTACTGCACTAAACATTCAAATTACGCAAATAATTTAATACAAATTGCATAAATAATAACACAAATAATTGAACACAAGTATTAATTTAACATATTCAAAGTACACACTACATAATTTAATATATTTCAAATATTTCGGTGATATTAAAACACATTATAATTGGATAATTAAAGTGTTGGCCCGAATGTCACTTTGACTAAAATTGTACACACTAGTGCACTACACATTCAAATTACAAAAATAATTTAACACAAATTGCACAAATAATTACACAAATAATTGAACACAAGTATTAATTTAACATATTCAAAGTACACACTAAATTATTTAATATATTTTGGATATTTGGGCGGGTCGGGTTGGGATTTTACAAACCCTACCCGCCACCCGATCTAGGTCCAATACTAATTGGTTTTTTGGTTTCGGGTTTTTCGGGTCAGATATCCATTTCGGTTCGAATATTATCAGAAAAAACTTCGGGTTTTGCGGGTCGGTTCGGGTTTTGCTCAGCCCTACTTGGCTTGTTCCTCCCAATTCAAGTACGCCTTTGATACGCTTGTAATTTCCGTGTGTATGTTTATGTTTTTAGCTAGTTTTGGTTGTTTGATATTTCGGAAATTACACACTTTTGGTGTAATAGTTTTGTTTGCAATTTAGTTGTAATTCATTTAGATTAAGTTTATTTTGAGCTTAAACAGGTCCAAGATCAATCAAATAATCATTGGTGAAGGAAGGTGCAAGAGTACAAGACAAAAAGAAGACAACATCCTGATTTTTGACATGTACCCAGTCGAGTATACCATGTACTCGATAGGGTACCAACTTGATTTTCAATCAGATCAATCAGAAACAAAGGGACGTGCAGGGGAAGATTTGGCCACGATCAGTTGTCATACCCGATCGGGTACACCGACACACCCGATCGGGTATGTCTTTTATTTCAACCCTGGAATCGATCGAGTAAAGCTCAAATTCAACATTCTGCAAATACCCGATCGGGTACCCTATGTGTACTCGATCGGGTACACGAGCTGCACTCCCAAAAAGCCTATAAATACACCACCTTCCCTTCACAATTAGACACCAATTCCTTTACACTTCTAAGCTCGGTTTAGAATAGCATTTCTTTATATTTTTCTAGCATGTTTAGTCTCCAAATGAGGAGCTAAACTCTCATTTCTTGGTGTTGCTCTTGAAGCTTGTTGATTATTAAAGTTGTGAGTTATTTTCTTAACTTCTTTCCTTGAATATTAATTCTTCCTTTAAATACATTTCTATATCAATGTTGGGGAGTGTTACTAAGATGACAATTAGTTAACATCTTGACATTGGTTATAGTAATAGTTATTTCTTCCTCTATGTTAATATTGGAGAGTGTTACTAAGATGACAATTAGTTAACATCTTGATATTAACTATAGTAGGATTCATCTTCTTTAATATTCTTCCTTGAGTATTAATTAATTCCTACTCATATTTCATATTAATATTTTGAACATTACTTAAAGGATCAATTAGTTTTGTTTCATATATTAATTACTACTAGAATCGATCAACGAACCGATGGTTAATCGTTGATGGTTTCACAAGTAAGTAATTTCGGTGTATTAATGCACGGTCGTGGTTAATAAACTTAAGAGGGATTAATTTGGTTGGTTAAACCAAAACCGTTGTGTTGAGGTTATCAATCTTAATTGATTTCATCAAGGAGTTAAGAGATTAAATGCTACTATCAAGTCGGTATATGGCGGTGTTCTATACTTGACTAATAGTGAGGGTTGTTAATGAACGGTCGTTGTTAACCTTTGGTGAATTGGATATACTCCTCGATTGAGTATTCGAGAGGGGATTAGTTATAGATATAACAATGATAGACTAAAATATATAAACAAGTGGAAAGTAGCAACGCCAAGTCCCTTTTATTCGTGAATTAAATCTCATATAAGTCGTTCATCTTCGTGTTTAATTTAATTAAATCACTCAAGCAAAACCCCCCTTTATTTACTTGTTTACATAAAAAGATAATTATTTCTTTCCTTGTGGATACGAACTCTACTTCACCTATACTACGTATAAGTGTTAGTAGTGAATTTATTTTGACGCACCGTGATAAAGTGCTCGTCAGCCTTCTCTTTAGCTCTCCCGGTACTCTGTCCACCTGAGACTCACTTGGATTAGTAGGAGTCCCCATCCTACTTTGAGTGCTCTCCCCTACCTCTTCTAGGTGCTGACCCTGAGCTGTCTTCTCCGCACAAGCCTTGTTATAGCCACCTGCTGAGGAGCTCCCTTCCGAAACCCACCATTTGTTACCCATAGAAGGTCCAGTTTTCCTTCCACCCGCTTGAAGCCACAGACCAAATGGCTTAGTCAAACCTTGTCCTCCTTTTTCATACAGTAGAGGGAAAAATTTATCTGCATGTCAGATGACTCCACAACAAAAATAGAAACTTGGAAGTTTTTCATATTTAAAATTGACCCAGTACCCTTCTCCTTTACTTTTCCTAATAGTAGTCCCAATTTTTAAGGGTTTACTCACATTCATGCGAACTCTAACCCGCATTATAAGCTTCCCATTTTTCATCAAATTGGTTATCATCCCACCTGACAAATTCACCTAGATAATTCCCAATTCTTCTTGCCATTCCAAGATTATCATAACTATACAACACATTATGTACCTGTACCCAGAGCTCAACCGTATCTAGCGGGACTTTAAGTGGGATATCTCCCGATTTAAGAGCTTTTACAACAATCAAATTCCAATCAAACAACCAGGGACCATTATCCAATACACGATTCATATCAACAGAGTGGAAAAATTTAAAGAGATACCTCTTTTCTCCAATCTCTTTTATCGCAACACCTTTACCCAGTCGTCATAAAGCCGTCATGAGATCCTTAAAGATCTGAAAACGAACCGCTTTGTCCGTGAGAATTGTCCCAACTACCAGAAACTCCTCCAGCTTTGCTGCACCGACCACCGCTGCCCCCCTCTTCATCATCTTCGAGCACCAGTTCGTCCTCTTCATCATCCACGTGCTTATCCACCAGTCCTTCTTGCTCTTCTCTATGTTGCTCCAAAACCTCGCCATCCATGATACCCCCTCCACTGCAAAGCTTCGCTCGGCCAAGGCGTCAAGAACGACCCCTAGAATGCTTCTATTACGCACGTCGCACTAGTGACAGAAAAACTCTCTGAACCCTAAGCTTAGGGTAAAGGCCACATTGATATCATAGAGTCCATTATTGAAAAGAAAACTTTGATTGGTTTATTTTTGAAAGAAATTTTCAAAAGTGATAAAATGATACTGTATTGTTTTTTCCTTTTTGGACGATTTGTGTAAAATTGTCAATTATTAGTACTACCTCCGTCCCGTTGGAAGGTCCTCATAGCAAAACGACACAGTTATTTAGACAATAATTAAATAAAGTACTTCGAGTATAGTTTGAGAAATAATTTCAATAGGTATATATTATAATGAAGTTAGTATTGATAACAATGATGTTATAAATATATTTGTTTTAATATTTAATGATTAATTAGTAATTTAAGATTGTTAATTATTTCCTTAAATGAAAATGAAACCCTTTATATGAGACGTCAAAAAAAAAGGAAAGCGAAAATCTTACCGTGGGACGGATGGAGTATACTTTTGTAGAGCCCATACATCCGAAAGGCCCAAATTGGAAAATAAACGGAGTAACTAACTTCTAACGCGCACTGTTGTGCAGGAGTTTCGCTTCCATCCTTCACCCCGACGCCTGTAAAGTGTAAACTGACGCACTCGACACTCCATCGCTCCACGCCAGCCACGCCTCTACGCAGCTCACACTGCAGTTCGCCGGTGGGGCCTTCGGCTTCGGTGGTCGCCGGCCGGATGTCCAGTCCCGGGACTTCCAGAGACTAGAGTTCCGGCCTTCCGCCTTCAGGCTTCAGCCAATCACTCAATCAGCCAATCGGCGTCCAGCACAGCACTCCAACTCTCCAAGCCATCCGTAAAGGCGTTTTCTTAATAAAAAATCCTGCAGGCCCTGATCCGCAACTTGTGCTTCTCTAGAGAGAGAGAGAGAGAGATTGTGTCCGTATGAGCAGGTAATTGTGGAGAAATGAAGGGGATGGGAAATGGGGATCTGTTCAAATCGACGACACTGATAAAAATTGCGGCCTTGACATTCTTAGCATTCACATTCTTCTACTTCGGCAAGCACTGGTCTGGCGGCCAGCAACAACCGCTCGTTTTCTTCAATTCCCGCCAAGATACTCTTCCTTCCACTGCTGCTAATGCAGGTGCAGCCGTTTCGCTCTCCCGTAATGTCAACAAAACATTCGATTTGTCGTCTGTCCTAAACGACACAGTTTCAGGAAGCACTCAGCAACCCAAAGAAGAAGAGAATCAGGAACAGAAGCCGGATGCATCTCCGCCTCCTCCACTACCACCACCTCCATCGTTTCAGAGAATGGGAGTGGTGGACGAGAACGGAGTCATGATGGAGAATTTTGAGGTGGGCCTGTTTGATGCTGACGTAGTAGACAATTGGGCGCAAGGGAATGAGACGGATGGAGAAGAAGCAGAGGAAGGTAGGAGTGTTAGGGTTAGTAAGTTCGCATTGTGCTCGAATAGCTTCAGGGAATACATACCTTGCCTAGACAATTTTGAGGCTATTAAGAAATTAAAATCAACTGAGAAAGGGGAGAAGTTTGAACGCCATTGTCCTGACAAAGACAAGGGGTTGAATTGCTTGGTTCCTGCCCCTAGAGGTTACCGAGCACCAATTCCTTGGCCTAGAAGTCGTGATGAGGTATTACATTTTTGCCGTTTTTCTTATAGCATACTAAGAAAATAATATTTACCGTGTTCTTGAGAAGATACATTATTGAAGAAACCAATTCTTAAAGAATTACTTTTGATGATACATTTCTACTTGTGTGTTACAATGCAGGTTTGGTTCAGCAATGTTCCACATGCTCGCTTAGTTGAAGATAAAGGAGGCCAAAATTGGATAACAATAGACAAGGATAAGTTCAAGTTTCCTGGAGGTGGCACTCAATTCATTCACGGGGCAGATCAGTACTTGAATCAGATTGAAGAGGTGATCTTTTTCCTCTTCATTTTCTTTTTGTAGTTTCAGAAATATAATGATAGATCTGTCCCAAAATAAAATAAAAAACCTTGCTTTAAACTCCTTTCTTGTCCAAAAAGAGTCATATTTTATCAAATGTAGCTAATGTTTCATGTAATTTTTCAAAAAGAGTCACAAGCAAGTTACATATCATAAGAAGTTGAAATAACAAAGAAGTTTTTGACCCTTGTGCCTTACCTAAATAAAAAACACTACTTCCTATAAGAAGGATTACAACTCTTGCAAACCATTGATCATAATTATATTTTGAATGTTTTTCTTGGTTTCTACAGATTTAACTTGTTCAGGAACCTTTTTTTTAATTACATTAAAAGTAATAGAATTTGGCTTCTTTTGTTTAAATATGACTACTTTTAAATTTAAGCTTCCAAAGCAGATTCTTAATTGAAATGGAGGAAGCTGTATCTTGACCGGCCTTTTTTTTGGGGTGGGGTGGGGAATTGAGGTAGTATTTAAGATTATTAACATTTTATATGTGATCTGTTTGCTAGATGGTACCTGAAATTGCATTTGGCCACCATACACGTGTCGCTTTGGATATTGGCTGTGGTGTTGCAAGCTTTGGTGCATATCTACTATCACGCAATGTTCTCACCCTCTCAATTGCTCCAAAAGATGTCCATGAAAATCAGATTCAGTTTGCACTTGAGCGGGGGGTACCTGCTATGGTGGCTGCTTTTGCAACAAGGCGTCTATTATATCCCAGTCAGGCATTTGAGTTGATTCATTGTTCAAGGTGCAGGATTAATTGGACTCGCGATGGTAGGTTTCTATCTTACACATTTCTTCATCTAATCTTAGGTATGTTCATGGGTTATATAATTATATACTACGGTATAATACAGAGAAGTGAGAGAACTGTTATGATAAGCAATATATGGTAGTGTATATAATATTTATTTAATATACCCTGCAATACAATATGCTCAAATCCTCAAATGAGAAAAAATTAATATCGTAGCAGCCGTAGCGCATATAATACTTATTAATAAACTCTGTAACACAAGATGCTCAAGTCCTCAAATGAGAATTTGTTTAGTGTCTTGTCCTGTTCCTTTTTTTACTTTTATACTAGTCAATAGCTTGGAATCCTTGGATGCAATTATTGTTGTAACTAATCATTCATGTGTTGGGTTTTTAATGAAGATGGTATTTTGTTACTTGAGGTCAACCGGATGCTTCGTGCAGGAGGCTATTTTGTTTGGGCTGCACAGCCTGTGTACAAACATGAACCAAACTTAGAAGAGCAATGGGAAGGTAATCTGATTTGTTTATCTGGTCTTCTTATTTTTGGCTTCCTTTGAATTTTGGCTGCTTCCATGCTTTTTCTTAGATAACCTGTTTCGTTTTATATTTTTAGCTGTGTGAAAATGTCAATACTATTAATGAACAACAATAAAAAGTGAATTTTGACATTAATATTTTTTGGGTCTGCCCAGAGATGGTTAATCTCACAAACAATCTTTGCTGGAGACTTGTAAAGAAGGAGGGGTATATTGCAATATGGCAGAAGCCCTTAAACAACAGCTGCTATTTAAACCGAGTGCAAGGGAGCCATCCACCATTATGTGAACCTGATGATGATCCAGACAATGTCTGGTATGCAAACACGTGTCTGTCTTCTACCAATTTCATAATACTTGTTCAACATTCTGTTTTTGCATTATCATTAAGTGCTATGCATATACATCTAGGTATGTTGATATGAAAGCTTGCATAACACGCCTGCCAGAGGATGGATATGGTGCAAATGTCACGAATTGGCCAGCACGTCTTAAAGATCCCCCAGACAGGCTTCAAAGCATAAAATTTGATGCTTACATATCAAGAAAAGAGCTGTTCAGGGCAGAACTGAAATATTGGGTTGAAATAATTGAGGGCTATGTCCGTGCAATGCATTGGAAGAAATTCAAACTTAGGAATGTGCTGGACATGAGAGCTGGTTTTGGTGGGTGGGTAATTTATTGATTTTCTTCCCCCATTCTTTAATTGCTCCCTATTTTATTTTGCTGAGACTTTTTGTGCTTTCAACAGATTTGCTGCTGCATTGATTGATTTCAAGTTTGATTGTTGGGTTCTCAATGTGGTTCCAGTGAGTGGGCCAAACACTTTACCCGTTATATATGACCGTGGACTTATAGGCGTTTTGCATGATTGGTAAGTGGAGGCCAGACTTCTCATTTTCAATAGATGATAGATGCCTTTAGTGCTCTACATACTTTTTTTATTTTATTTTTTTTATTATTTTTTTTGCTCTACATACATTTATAACAAATTTGTATTATCTTCCAGGTGTGAACCATTTGATACATACCCAAGAACATACGATTTCTTGCATGCTAATGGGCTCTTTTCCATTGAGCGAAAAAGGTATTTCTACTTTGTCACAGGAAGAAAAGTTTTTCGTGGAATTTTTTTCTTCGAAATAACTGTTTTTCTTCAACAAACATTTTCCAAAAGAAAACGAAGTTTTATCAATCAAACAGCTCCTGCTGTTCTAAACAAGACAAAAGAGATGCCACTTTGCAGTGTGTCACATATACATAGTACTATGGAATTGTTAAAAGATATGGATAATAGAGTGTGAAGCATAAATTTGCCCTCATTCAATGTAGTTTTTGTAAGTCAAGAATTCAGGAAGTTATGCCTTTTCAGTTAAGTATTCAAGCATAAAGTAAAATAAAGTAGTGAACGCTATCTTGAAATGTACAGTAGTAACCTAAGTAGCACGAAAACGAGAAGCGGGAAATGCCGGAATCACCATTTACAAAAAAACCGGAAAAAAATGTGGGGGAAACGCGTAAATAAAAATATATAGAGATTTTTTATAAATTAATAAATATGTATACATATGTGTGTGTGTATACAGAGTGTACATTATATAGATATTTAACCCATATGAATATCAACTTACACCTTAGATATTTATAGTAGCAAATCCAGAACCCCCTTATTACTTACTCTGTATACATTTAAATGTTTTAAATAATTAATACGGAGTAATTAATTAGGGGACACTTCCATCATTTGCAATGGAGCCAAAGCCTCACTATTTTTTGGCTTGGGAATATGATGCAATAAAGAAAATGGCTCACTTAACTGTCTGCATTTATTTGTTATGAAGCAGTCCGTGCAAATTTCGATGCGATTTTTATTATGGGTCATCCGGAAATAGTCTCTATGTGCTTTAATATAGGGGTAAGACTGCGTACATCTAATCCCGCTTACCCCACCGAAGGTGGGAGCCTTTGCGGCACTGGGGTAATGATGATGCATTAATTAGGGTACAGCTGGACGTCATCACTAAACTCCTCTAGATAAGTCTCCACTCTCCCTCAGTACTCACACTGTTCGTACGATTTATTTACAAAGCCAACCCTCCGACTCAGGAGATCTCTGCTTTCGAGAAGCCAAACAAGACGCGAAGTATGCAAAGACGGCCGGCTTGAAATGGCAGCGAATACAGTCCCCACTGAAGACGATGTGCGCAGATGCTGAGAAGATGTTCACTGAAGGCGGCCAGCTGTTGAAGACGAAGACTGCACATACTCCGCCGAATCCTCATCATCATTCATCATTTACCCCAATGCCAGAAGGCTCCCACCTACGGTGGGGTAAGGGGGGTCGGATGTACGCAGTCTTACACTACCCCTGCACTAGAGGACAAAGAGGTTGTTTCTGGATGACCCAATCGTATCGAAAATTGCATGGATTGACTACAGCTTCATAACAAAGAAGCACAGACAGTTTAGTGAACCATTTTGCTTTATTCCGTCATACTCTACCGAATCCTAATTTTTGAATTCTATAGATTTTATTTTTGGAAATGTTTTTCCAAACTTCCAAAATTCAGAAACAGGCCCGACACGCGTTTTGGGCGTTTTTGGCGTTTGGAAACTGTAGTACGTTTTAGATACGGGAAACACAGTCCCATCCATGTTTCTGTTCGTTCTAGGTTGCAACTAAATTAAGTGAAATGAAAATTGTGAAAACATACATTTCGGAAGAAAGTAAAAATATGATAGATCAAGCGCATTTCAGATTTCCCTGAATTTGATGCCATCTTGTTTTTTTTTCTCATTATTATCAGATGCAAAATATCAACAATCATGCTAGAGATGGATCGAATATTGAGGCCTGGTGGGCGAGCATATATTCGTGACTCTGTGGCAGTTATGGATGAACTTGAGGAGGTTGGCAAAGCAATGGGCTGGCATGTTACATTACGAGACACATCAGAAGGCCCTCATGCAAACTACAGGATCTTGACATGTGAGAAACGTCTCCTGCGATCCTGAAGTAGATTGCAGTAAAGCATAATGGTTATTACAGTCATTGGGACAATTACTGTATTGAAGAAGTATAAAGAAACTAACCATCCAACCCCTATTACCAATTTCTTTCTCATTGATTACTAGGTCGTCGACTGTGGTTTTCATGTTCATGTGGTGCATTGCCTGGCTGCATCAACATTCCATCCACCGTGGATGATCCACGTAATCGTTTTACATTGATTTTTTAGTGCAACGTGTAAAGAGTCTAAAGATTATGTCTTGAATTCTTTTCTGTATCTAGTTACCTAAGCCAAAAAATGATTAGAATTAAAGATAAATCCGTTCCATAAAGGTTAGAAAAATCATGGGCAGTCATCAGTGTTTACATGAACAAGTGTTTTTTTGGTGATACTCCAAATCTCCAATGTTTATATAAAGATTTGGTAATACTGCTTATATTATTTATCTCCTACTTTCTTATTTTTTGCTTCTTTCAAGTACATGTTTACCAAATCTTCAGATAACTCCCCATCCATTTCATTGGAGTTATACATAAAAATATATAATAAGAAAGTAGAAGATATATAAGCAGCATGACCAATTAATTACTTTAAATGGAAAGATGTAATTTTTTTTAAAACAATTAAAAAAGAATGTTTGTGAAGTTCTATAGAATGAAGTAAATAATCGTTTATATTCTCACTACATTCGGGTAAGCCTAGGACTCGCTACATTCCAGTCCACCAGGGGAGAGTATTAGTATAGAGTCGAGCAGTGTTTGCAAATGTTTAAAAAATAGTACTCAGTAATTTACTCCTTTGGCTCTAAAGTCAGCTAAAAGTAGTGTGTTTTAATAATAAATTTTGCTTAGTTTAAGCACATTTAAACTAAAAGTTTCAAGTTGGGATACACATGTTTTTATCATCATTTTCATTTCATTTTCATTTACCCCAGTGCCACAAAGGCTCCCATCTACGGTGGGGTAAGGGGGGTTGAATGTACGCAGTCTTACTCCTGTACTAAAGCACAGAGAGACTATTTCCGGATGACCCATAGTGAAAATCGCGTCCAAAATTGCATGGACTGATTGCTGCTTCGTAATAAAGAAGCGCAGACAGTTTAGTGGGTCATTTTACTTTATTCCATCATATTCTCAAGCCAAAAAAATGAATCTTTGGCTCCATTGCAAATGATGGAAAAAAACATGTTTTTATCTACTTGTTTTTTTGTAAACAAGTCCAACTTTTAGAATAATTTCTTTCGTAAAGAATATTAATTAATCAAGAAGTACCCTTCATTCCAAGCATCATTTGAGCTGTCATCGATATGCTTTTACCGCACAAGAATCCCCTCGCCACAGTAGGCCTGGACTCGGGCCGGGCGGCCCGACCCGGAACCGGCCCGGCCCGGCCACTGTAGCAACCGGCCCGGCCCGGTGGCCCGGTTCACCGGCGGTTCGGGTCGAACCGGCCCGGTGGTTCCCGGTTCCGGGCCCGGGCCTTCCATATGGTGAACCGGCCCGGCCGGTTCGGGCCCGGTCCGGGCCGGAAATAATTTTTTTTTATTTTTTTTTGAAAATTTTTTATGTTTTGGGTTAGATTCGGTATTTTGGTCCATTTGAGGTGGTTTGGGGTGGTTTGGGGTTGAGAAAGAGGGGTAGGGGATTAAATAAAGAAGCCAAAAAACAAAAAAAAAAAAAAAAAATAGGGCGGGTGGCCCGGCCCGGAACCGGCCCGGTCTGGCCCGGAACCGGCCACCCCCGGTTCGGGCTCGGGCCTCAATATTCTGAACCGAGGCCCGGCCGGGCCCAGGCCCGAGGCCCGAACCGGCCCGGTTCAGTCCACCCCTACGCCACAGTCGTTCTACTTCACTGCCTCTTATGTGCTTTGGGGCCCCTGCTTCTATTTCTTTTTTGAAGCAGAAGCAGGATTAGAATCAGTTTTCAGAAGTTGGTACCCCACAGCTTCTAAAAAAACTGATTCTGAGAGTAAATTAGAGCACTAGAAGTGACTCTGAAATTTCACTCAAACACTCCATCTTCTGCTTCTGCTCCTTGAAGGAGCAGAATCAATTTTGAGAATCAGATCCAAACACCCCCTTTGTTGCCACCTCTCATTTGTATGCCACCGTCACTCTAATATGTTCTCAATTTTAAGTTGGAGTGTATTTTAAACGTGAATAAGTTTAAATGTGAAGAATGAAGACAGTTTTTCTATATATATATATATATATATATATATATATATATATATATATATATATATATATATATATATATATAGAGAGAGAGAGAGAGAGAGAGAGAGAGAGTAATCTTCCGGTCAGGAATTCCCTGACCGGAGCGCCGTCCGGCCTCCTCCTTTTGGGGGCCTTCTCGGTGGTATTTTTTGCTCAAATTTTTTGTGTATGTTCCTCATCAAGTCTAGTTCATCCATACCAAATTTCAGTAAAAAATTCAATCGGGAAGGTAGTCAAATGATTTTTGCAAGTTAACTGGTCCGGAAAATACATATTCCGGTCGAAGTAAAAAATGTAGCCTCTTGATACAATTACCCTTTCTAGATCTACATTTATAAATAAAAACTAAAAATCATGTCATTTTTGGATTGAAAATTATAACATTGTCGAATGAAATTATGACACCAAAATAATGACATTTTAAAATTGAATAGTAAAATATGAGAAGAAAATGAAAAAAGAGAGAATCAGGCAACATTTTCAAATCGAAAAACATGGCATACATTGCCATTTTGACAAGTGTATAGAGATAAAATGTAGTTAATCTCTAATCAATGTGAAAAATAGTATCCATGATATTTTCTGACAGTAAAAAAAATCTCGATATTTCAAAAAAGTTTGACCTTAAGAAAATAGAATCAAATTTGTAAAAGAAATGAATGGTATAGAAGTAGAGGGGGAAGATTACTTGCAACAAGTTGCAGACCCGACATTGTTTGAGAAATCACAGAAAGGATGATGCAGAGAAGGAGGCACAACAGAAATGGTCTAGCGTCAAAGCAGATAATGTGAAATCATATTTAGAAAATGAATTATAGAACTCATATTTCGGAACTTTCTCTTTGTTCTAGTGCAATTTCTTTTATTTATTCTGTATATTTGAGATTTTTCAATTTTATAAAATTGACAAATACAGACTAACGCATTTCCCCGAAAGCTTACTTATCTCTCCTTGCAAACAGATCATAAAGAACACTTCCGAGTTCCAAAGTACACACAATATCTATGTACAAACCCAAAGCCACAGACGCACACCACACTAAAAGCCAGAGAGCCGATCTGCATTTTGTCTATTAAATTGTGGGTTCTGGACACGTGGAGCCTTGGCAGGTCTTGGATTTACACTGGTTGCTTGTCCTTCAAATTGGCCTACTAAGGATGGCTGAATAACCGGCTGAGCACGGATCTGGGTAGCACCAGAAACCTGCCCACATGCACGCATTACATTGCCTAGCTGCCCGTTCCGCCGCTGATATTCGAACTGAGGCTGCAAGCTTATACTATAGTTGTTATGGCTTCCGGAATGGGATGCACCAAAAAATCTTGATACTTGCGGGCCCACAAGAGAAGAAATGAGCAAGCTTGGATCTTGATTGGGAGACAAAAGCAGATTGTAGGTTTTCTGGAAAGTCTCTGTTATCCTTCTGAGTTGTTTGCTGTTTACACCCCTTGCTGCATTCACTGGCTGTTCAAAAGGATCTTCAATCTGTTAACCAGAATTTCAACTGATTCAGAAGCATATTAGGCTACTTTAAGATCTACAACTAGGCTCAATTTCTAAAAGATGGATATGGTGATAGGCGATTACGATTAGCGGATAGTTATTAGGTAACCATCTCATGTTGACTTCAATGTCCTCCCACCGCCCAGTGTATGGATTAATCCCTTGCTTAGTGGCCCTTGAGTTTAAGTCGCAGAACTGTAGCATCAATAAAGGTTACCATAGCGGCGATGGTCAAAAACACAAAACTTTCTTAACGTGATAAAGAAGTCATCATATACCTTGGCAAGGAATGAGATGAAAAGCCCAGATAGAGAACTCTGGTTACGAACTCTGGGCCAATTATGCACGAACCGGTTAATATTGAATGCACATATTTCCTCTATATTCTTCTCTGCAAGGAGCCTCACACCTGCAAAAGAGATTCCCAAAAAGATATGCATATTGAGCTATAATGCTCTAAGCCTCTAATGAGTCATACAGAGATTTAAAAAGGTAAGATCTACTGCATAACTGACTAGAAGAACTCATGACCTCATAAAGGCATCCAATTTACCACACTAAGGAAAAATGTCATTCTTAATAGGAAAAGATGAATAAACCCCAACAATCGAACTGTTTGATGTGGAGCACCTTTAAGATCATCCGAAATATTTCCGGGGTAAATCTCCTTCAGTGGAGGTAAAATCGGAGGCACACATGTCTGCAAAAAAATATGGTACAGTTAGATCAACTTGACAACTAGCAGGAATTATTTCACTGAATGCAAGTAAAACAAAAATCACCTGAAAATGGAAGATGACGAGCAAGCTGAGAGAATATGAGTTCAGAGATCCACATTTTGAGTCATTGATATTATGCGCCTTTGCCCATTCTTTGACCTTTCAGAAGACAAGGGTTTTAAAACACTTACACAAAGAGGTAAGGTAAATCTATTAAAGCCGTAATGCAAAATGTTATGTAATGTAATCAAATGCATTTGTGATAAAAAAAATTGTGCAGAAATATTTGATTCATTACATTTCAGTATGGGTTGGTCATACCAATAAAACCATGTCACGAAACCGACCATCGATAAAGTTGATCCAGTACATCAATTTTGACTTCATTTGACCAACCCAATTACTTATTGATAAATCGAAGCAGATGTTGTGCTTTCCATGGAACATCAGAATGGGGACTCTTGCGTTTTTTATTAATTTAAAACTATGGTAGCCACCTACAAGATGAAACAATGCTTACAATCAGCTCTTTTTTTTTTGCTTCAAAAGATATAAGAAAATCATTTCGTGGAGGTAAAAGTCAGATTACTTTCCCTGAAACCGAGCCAAGAATAACACACACCACTCTCTGTTCCTTATTATATGTACTTTTATAAAATCTATGCACATTTAATATGTTTCTTCCAAATCCTTCCGTTCTTACTAAATTATGAAAAAAGAATAAGAGAGAATATTAAGTATTTATACTCCACCTAAATGAGGGTATTTTAGGAAAGTTTAAAATATTTTGATTAACTTACCACTACAGACGTTTTCTGAAACTCAGTGTTTTGGACAAAGGAGACAGATAAATAGATACAGTCATACAAATAGCGTATATACCTCTACTTCTCAATGCTTTTAGTACATCTCTAAGTAATTTTTGCTTCTCCTTCTTAGTAGTAGAAGGAGCATTGCCCCCCAACTCAATACATACGTCAAGATCTCCCCAT